TCATATTCGAACCATGACGAACCTGTCAGTCAAGTAATGTATTATAGCAAAAGAGATTCAAAGAACTAATGATTTCCCAATATTGCCTATTCCTTACTAAAAATAGGAAATTACGCTATTTGAACTGTATAATGCCATCTGTTTCTTCTTTTTGTTCTAAATCATCTTATCGTAGTATAATGTTTAAATACTTCTTCAGAATTCTCTGAATGTTATTACATTACATTACAAGAAGTAGGATTTTGACTGTTAAAAAAAGAAAAGTATGTAATAATAATATCTATTAAAATTACGTCATTTTCAATAATTTTTTCGCATTTTCATGAAGAAAAATAAATAAAACAAGCCGAGTCTTGATAGTCACGTTGTGAATTCGAAATTATAGTCTGGTGTCAACTGTTAGCATCGCCAAGATGATATAGATGAGAGAATATAGATGGCGCTGTCTTAATTTTACGAAATAAACATCGCATATTTTTATTATATTTTAAATTAATATTATATAAAATTTTAAAAAAATAAACAAAATATTGAAAAGATATATGTAAATAAATAAGTTCAATTTAACTTTTAATCATTACCAGTCAATATTTAGACAATAAAACTGAAAATAATATTGTTTCCAATGCATCCATGCAATTGTTTTAAGATTGCTAAATTTGACATAAGAGCAATATTACTTTAATGTTAAAGTCGCGTCATGGTACGAACTGATTGAGTGAATAGTCACAAAGCTGCCAATAAAACATCCTAGTTTTAACATTACAATAAGCTTACTTTAAGCGTGTTATGGTACGAAAAGTCAATCAATGTAAGGTTAAAATAATATTGTTTTAAAATGTTGTGGTAGGCCCCCAGTAGGTAAATAATTCGTATTGAAAAATTTGTTTCTTAATAAAAATTAGTGCACTAATTTTCTCTCTATGAATTGAAAACACTCATTTGTCAAAGCAAATGCACTACAAATGAAAAAATTAAAATAACATTGTTTTTATGTTTTTTTTTTTGTTTTTTTATGTGATAATGAAAGATGATTTAGATAAAAAAGTCTATAATAGCAGGGTCATTACCCACAATAAGGCTTAATAAAGTCCATCCTTTATGAATATTACTTATGATACAGACATACATAGCACTATAAAGTTTTAAAAACTTTGCTTTTAAAATGGTGCTTAGTTATGACATTTATACTAAGGGAATAAAGCATATAAAGTATATATTCCAGAAAATCCATATACTTTAGATATATAAACCAAAAATGACTCAAACTTATACTGCAAATTACACTTAAAATCATCACATTCTATCACATCACAAAATAAGGTTCCCCTGAGAAATATAATAGAAACAAACTGAAAGAACTAAACAAGTCATAATAAATAACCATTAACCTCGTAAATGGCAAATTTAGAATATCAACCAGAATATTATTATAAGTAGAAGCATATACAATATTGCTCCTTAATTGAAATAAGTAACAGGTAAGATTATGCTCGGCAGTTTGCTGCATCGTCATCAACAATAATACGTAACATGAAAAGTACAGTATATCCAGAGCACATTACACTGAAGTACACACGTCAGCACATCAAGCTACACATTGACGTATCTTGTTCCGCTGCACTGGAGGCTATTTTCGAACAAAAATATGTAGTCTGATGTGCCGTTGTCCATACATTACAAAAGGACCAAGAATTTTGTCATAAAAGCGTATACACTTCTGCTATGAATTAAAGATTTTGTAAAGATGACTGTCAGGAACAGCGAGTTTATTTTTATTCCTAATATTATTGTTCTATATTACTTACTCTATTTGATAAAGAAATTACTGAGGTACCTTCGCCTACAAATTAGCACATATAATAACAATAATAAAGGTATTTAATTTTTTGTAACTTTTGCATTTTACAATAATCACGGTATACATTAACTGCAGTTTTCATGTATACGCATCTCAAACTCGGACTTTCATCAATATTCTGAGCAATTTATCAATCCACTGAAGTGAGTGTTTATTATCAGTCCATCTCTTTCTTGATTGTCTACGCCTCAGGGAAATGTTATTCTAGTACATTTATATGTACTGAAAGAAGTTGTTCTGTCATTTGACTGTTGTGCAAAAATGAAATGACAAAATTCGTAGTACAATATAAGTATAGTATAATGTGGATGGACTTTGTATGTACAGCATAATGTAAAAAGTAGTTATATGGATGACATGGTTTACATTACATATCTATTATAGGCATAAGCGTGAAATTATCGTTTGAACTTCTGACCACTTTGAAATGAAAATATATATATATATATATAAAGTCTTTTGAATGTAACATTCTGATTAGGATGTTACATTATGTATGTATGAAATGTATTCCAATAAAATCTTAAGACTTCTAAATGTAAAATTTAGCCTTAGTAATTTGTTTACGTTTTGATTAATTTTGCATTAAGTTTGAAATTCCGACGTGGTTGCTAATGCAGCGCAAACGACTCGAAACAGAAAAAAAAATTCACGTGTACTATTTTTCCCAAACTTTTTGTCTAGTTTGGGAATCTCTGCTCTCAGTGGTTTAATGCCAGTTAATATATGAAAATCACGTACCATTGTTCAAGCGTTATTCTCGCCAAATGCATTATTGCTTCAGAAAAAAATGCCTTGTGAGATTAGCTACAACTGTTATTAATATGATGTATTCATTGTACGAAGCTGATAACGAATTTGGGTATTATGAATGCAAAATGTGTGTATCCTGATGGTAATTAATGTTCCCTTTGATGGTTAACATTAAATTGTGCTAAATTAATATTAAATCTTTCACTGTAAAAAGGCTTATCACTATTCTAATATAAAACATCGCAAATCGGATTACAGTTTTTTTAAATAAACAGCAAATTAAGAACATTAAAAACCGAAGAGAACATAAAATTTACTTCTATTTAATAAGTAGTCAATATATCCAGTATAATCATCATATTAGATTATTGACTACAATACGCATTACCTAACCTAACCTCCGGTTAAATACCCGGCCTCAAAAGTCATTCATCCCCTAGTTTACCACCCTTAGAGGTGGAATATTTTCTTCAGATTTAAATGGGACCGCTTCTGAGGTACCCTCTTTCCAACAAAAAAGAATTATCAACATCGGTTCACAAATGGCCGAGTTATCGCGTAACATACATACAAAAAAAAATACAAAAACATGCAGACGAATTGAGAACCTCCTCCTTTTTTTGAGTCGGTTAAAAATATCAGGCTATTTTTATAGCCTACCTCATGGTTGGCTATAAAAATATCCTGATATTTTGCGTACATATAGCACTATAGATGGTTGGTTGGTGAGGGTTGATGTTGCTCGCTTCCGTAGGTTTACCCTCCAGACCCTTGACCAAGTGACCCTTGGGTGGTGCTAAAGAGCAACAACTACTGGTGGTAGGCTTCCTCAATACTCAAGTCCTGACTTGAGTATTGAGTAGAGTTCTGGAATACGGGACTTGTCAAATTATGTCTCACAGTGACAGGCGCAGTGGGAGTGCCCCTCAGATTTGCCATTTAAAGCTCTGAGTGGCACTGCAACTGTTATGGACAGGTGTTACGCGGACTAGGGATGCACGATTTTTTGCGTTGAACCGATTTTTTTAGATCGTAATTTCATTATATGCGATACCAGTATATATTTAGGGGAAATATTTAAGTACATATCAGAAAACTTAATACGTATAAAATTATGTTCAATAGTCAAATAACTTTCATATCTAAAAAAATATTTCACTACAAATAAAACAACTGTCTAACAAAACTAGTATCAAAAATTTAAAAACAGGTAAAAACTAGACCTCTCCTAATTTGTTAATATACTTACAACAAAAGTGTTCATTTATTAACAGAAATATGGTTTACTACTTATTTAACCAATTCTAACTTAATTCTGTTTTTGTTCAATAAAGATCTATTATTATTATTTATGATACATTGCTTTGACAATTGACCTCGAACATGGACATCGCCTTAAAGTTGCCTGCTTGTCGGTATTCTACAGGATTGTAG